CTGTATATATTTTATTCTCATGAGCCTAGCTGAAGCTTGAGAATTGTACTGTATGTACAAAGACCTTGCTGTACTAAAAACCGGTCTTAACCAGAGAAAGGTTTAAAGTAGATAATAGGACATTTGGAACTGAGCAGCAGAAGACAGAAGTTGAACTAAATAATGAATATGTAATTGCTAAAACATAGACACTTTTGAAATTTGAAATGGAAGAACAAGTAGAAGACTATATGGTAAAATTGTCTAAGTACTTTGGAACGGAATATTGATGGAACAAAAGGGAAATATGTGATTTAAAAATTTGAAAATTACATATTATAACTTAAAAGAGAATTTCTGTAAAATGATAAAATGTTGGTATATAACTCCAGAAAAATTGTCTAGAATATGTAAAAATACTTCAATTTATGTTGGAAATGTGGACAACATGAAGGGTCATTTTATCATGCGTGATGTACTTATAAAAAAGCCAGACATTTTGGGTTCAAATACAGATGTTACAAAGAATTTTAAAGATCAACATTCAACTGGAATCAGAACTGCTCTTGCTGGAATTAATGGGCAATCAAGTAGACAAGAGTCACGGAGGAGCATCCTTATATATGATTTGTACCATGAGACAATTATATGTACAAAAATGGAAAGATTCCTAAATATCCATAACAGAGGTTGGTGAAGGTAACAGAATTACTAGAGATAGAAAAATTAAGTTCTTTGATAGGCGAAAGATCAACAACTACTTTATCAGTGACTGGAAATGCCTTGTAGACTTTTTGCTGAAAAAAGAGAAAAATGGACTTGTGATTGACAGGTTTCAAAAAGGGAGTTTATGGAATTCCCTCACCTAAGTTACTGATGAAGATATTGAAGAGTACTGGGCCTGGCTTTCAATTTTGACGTTGTACTAAAACAGACCCAGGAAGAGGGGGCTCCGTCTTTTGCATTCGATTTCACCCCACTGGGGACCCTGGGAGGGTTGAAATTTGCCCTTGAGGTGACAAGCAAGGGGGGGACCCTCATTGATCTGAGGAAGCCCTCCAAACTGCCAAGGGAAAGATTGGCTAGATTCACGTAGCCAGTTGAAAGCTGCTGATGTCAACGCTGTAAACATTGGATGTTCCAACTCTGACAACTGATGAAAATGGCAGCCATTTTCTCTTTGCTTTTACCATGCTTTTTCTAGTATTTAGAAATCAGGGGCAGAAGGGGGGCGGGTTGGAATGAAAGCTTGAGGTCAGTTAGCCATAATAATAATGCTGCTTTGTGAGAACTGAAGGACGAGCTGATGCTTTGGTGGGCTGAGGAGCTGGGGAGAAAGCCCACATTTTAGGCTAATTGGAGAATGTGATTTATGAGAGCTTATTGGGGGTGGGAATTGCACTTTGTTACTTTGTTTTTTGGGGAAGGGAATTTAGTTTTTGGGTTCAACTATGTAGTGCCGATACTTTGTTTCCTGAATAAAATGTTCTTTAAGGAAGAATTTTTGCCTTGAAGTTCTTTTGATGGGTTTCATCTATTGGAACCATGACAATAACCGAAAAACTACCTTTCTACCTTAACCACCTTGGGGTCCTGAGCTCCAGTCACCTTCCCTAAATCAGGGGGTAGGCTGACAAAGACTTGGGGAAGATCTCAGCATGAAGGAAGAAGTACCTGTAACAAGCACCCTGGCCATGGTTGTTGCCTCAGCAGAGGGAGCGCAAGCCAGCACATCGGTGGTGAAAGAAACATTTGATGCCTTAAAGCAATGCCAATTTCTACCCAAATCCAGCTGCTACAGTCGACGTGGTCACAGCCAATCTGGAAGGGGAAGCATCTGAGTGGCTAAACAATCTGTACGATGAGCAAGCGCCTGAACTGGGGAATCTCCATCTCTTCCTCCTTGGATTAAGAGCCAGGTTCGAGGACTCATCCATAGCCCTCAAAGCAGAGAAACAAATTCACAAGATAAAACAAGATGGTAGACCTTTATTGGAATACGTACAAGAATTTCGCAAGGTAGCAGGTCGGATAAAAAGGTGGCCTGAGCAGTCCCTAGTGCGGTGTTTCTCAACCTTGACAATTTTAAGGCATGTGGACTTCAACTCCCAGAATTCCACAGCCAGCATTGCTGGATCACCTTTCCCAGGCCTGTGTCTATTGGGCTGTTCTTAATCAATTGCAGGAGTTGTATCAGGCAGCAGTAAGGCTGGACGTTGAGGTTGCTTGCTACAAGAAGCCACCACCTCCAGAAGCTGGGCTGAAACCAGAGCAAGACAGGTGGCCTCCTCCTCGAAAATCCCCAGCCATTGCGGCCGTGGAATCCCCCATCTGCCGGTCCACCCATCAAATGCTTCAGGTGTGGACAACAGAGGCACCGAGCAGCAAGTTGCCCGATCCTGTTTCCCCAATAGGGGAGCAGATTGGGGCCACCAGTGAGGAAGAAAGCAATCCAGCAGCCAGCGAAGGAAAAATCAAACTGGATCATGCAAGAACCTGTTGCCCAGGTCACATCAGTCACAAAGGAGAGCGCCGAGGCCCAAGCTGGACCTGCCACCATTCTGCCCTCCGACGACAGCGACGATGGAGAGAATGACCAGATGGTGAGTTGACCCATTCCACCTTTTTCTCTTGCTGCCAAACTCATAATCACTAAGACGGGTGTACAAGTGGATTTGAGAATGCTTATGGACTCAGGGTGCTTCCTGTGTGTTATTAGCTTACCTCTTGCCCTTAAAATGGGTATACGAGCAAGGTTGCTCTCCAAGCCCATGAGATTTGAACAAGCTGATGGCTCTTTAATGGGAGGAACTTTAGTCACACAATTGACAAGCTGATACGCTTAGAAATAGGTGAACATTGGGAGTTCCTTCGCTTCATAGTGGCTCTGAAGATGAATGAGGCTGTGATTCTAGGTCTATCCTGGTTAGACAAATGGAAACCTTTTATTTGGTGGGAAAAGGGGATGAGGACTGTGGGATTACCAAACCCCCTCTTAATTTGGTCTACGTTACTGGAGAATTTAGTTCCGTGGTGGCGAACCTATGGCACGTGTGCCACAGATGGCACGCAGAGCCTTCACTGGGGGCACGCATGCCGTCACCCCAGTCTTAGGCCTTCAGCTGAGTTTTATAAAACCTTTTCACTTTAGGCCTCCGCCCTCATGTGCAAAAAAAAAAAAAAAAGTTCAATCCATCAATTTCTTTTTTGTTTTTTTGCAGGACAAAATGGCTATTTTTTTTTTTTGCATTATCAAATAGAGAGGAGAAGCAGACTCTCATTGTGCTATTTTGTTTTCTTCCTCAAATCTTTTTTTTTTAATTTCAAAATTTTATTTATAATACAATTAAAAAAAACATTGGATGTAACGTGACATTCCAATATATACATTCTTGTGAGCCTGTCCCTTTCGGCCCATTGTAATATTTTATATAGTGTCTCTTCCTCTGTGGGAATTTCAATCCATCAATTTCAACTTCTTGGGGGGGGGGAGATCTAGCAAAGTTGGAATTGATGGATTGAACTTTTTAGTCCCACCCAGTCTGCCGTTACCACGGCAACCACGCCCACCCGGCACCCAAGGATACATAAGTGGGTTTTGGGTTGCAGTTTGAGCACTCAGTCTCTAAAAAGTTCGCCATCACTGGTCTAGTTGTTTTGGCGCGCAATTGTGGAGGAAATTTAAAAATAAAAACATATATGCTTTTAGTATTATCATATTTTATATTTTATAATTATCATTGTATAATCAGTTGCCTGAGTAGATGCTTTGAGTATATAGGGAACATACAAGCCTCAGGTGGAGGAAGGGGGGAGAACAGGAGTTACCATGGGGCCCAGTGTGAGTCACCATCGAGGAATTGTTTTTAAGGACCTTCTGGTGCCTGGTACCCCTACTGGATCTAACAGGTGTAGAAGATGGGAGACATCACTCCTCCAGAATTGATATAGGATAGTAGGGGAGGGATCTTATTAGTAAGATGTTTAGGCGCTTCTGATAGATTGTAACCTCCAAAGCCTAAGCCGATGGGGCCATGGGGGAGGGAATGGGACGTCACGATAGGATGTATAATAATATGTGATTTTGGAATTTGGGGTGTGGTTCAGTGCTTGGCTACATTGCATTGCCTTCCTGAATCCACCACACTTTGCAAACCGTTCTTTTTTCAGACTTTTTTGTGAAGTCTAATAAACTTCTTTTCTATTTGTAACTCAGAGTGCATTTCAATCTGTTACTATTTTTGTGTCTAACACAATGCCCTATAGCGCCATCTTGAGGGAAGACGTTAAAGCGGATTATGTCCAGGATTTGAGAACCTCTTTTTCTAATGCTGGAAAAAGTAGGCCTAAGTACATTTTCTTTTCAGTTTTTGGCTGCAATTTTTCTCACGGAGGCCAATAAAGTTCTAGCATGTTCTCCTCTCTCCCACTTGGCCTGCTCTCCGTGTGCCCGCGTCCTCCGTTGCCCGTGCAGGTGCCGGGTAACCCTGAACGGGCCAAGCCATCGGGAGAGGAGGGGGCGAGGAGGGAGGGGCTGGCCGCTCGCCGTTTGGCTCTGCAGATTTCCCCCGCCAGAAGCTCTTTCCCAGCGGGGGGGGGATGCCTTCCCGTCTCGGGCCAAGCAGGCGGCCGGCTCTGCCCAAAATCCAGCACCCGCCCCCGTCTCTGCGTGGCCGACCGGTGTTCCTTCCCCAATGAGGCGATCGCGTACAAAGCGGCGGGGGAAAGGAGACCCTTGCGGGGTTTTCAGGGTTTCCACCCAGGGCTGCAAGCGGCCATTGGGAGAAACGCCTCCCGGTTCCAACGGGCCGCTTTGGGCAAACCTAACCACGTAAAGCCCCCGACGGGCGGTTTGGCCGCCGTAGCCGCTCCTCAGTCCCGGCCCGCCGCTCGGGCTGCCCAGAAGCGGGGCGCCCCTCCCCCCGAACCCTCTGGGGAGGCGCTACCTGCGCAGCAGCGCCCCCTGCCGCCCCTTGGCGGCCCGGGCAGACGGCCGGAGGAGGAGCGGCGGGGGGGGGGGGGCAGGCGGGCGACAGACCGAGCGGGGCGGCCATGGCCTTCTGCAGGTTCTTCGGCGGGGAGATCTATCAGAGTCATTTCGAGCCCGGTAAGGCGCGAGCGCGGCTATCGCTCCGGCCCCGCTCGGCTCTTCTCGCGACTCCGATTGCGGAGGGCGTCCCGGGCGGGTCTTGGTTACTCTTTGAGCCGGCCCTCCCCGGACTGGCTCCCGGAGGGGTCGCGCTCCCAGCTCCCTTCGGCCCCAAGCAGGCATCGAAATTCGGCAGCGCCGGAGGGCAGCAGCTGGGCGAAAGAATCCCTGGGTTGTGTGAGTTTGGGGGGGGGGGACGGGGACCGGCTGGCTGGAGAAAGTTGCGCGATGCCCTCCCCCACCCTTTGTCTCTAGAGATGGCTGCCCAATCCGCTCGCTGTGGCCGCCCCCCTCCCCGATGCAAACGCTTAGCTCCCTCCTGGTGTTGAGGCGGGGGGGGGGGGGGTTCCTAGAAGCAGAGGAAACCGAGATCGGGAAAGTTGCATCCTTTGCATTTGGTGCTCCCGGGAGATTACAGCCACTAGATGAGAAGAATCCCACGGCCGGGAGGAACCTTGGAGGTCTTCTAGGGCAACCCCCTACCCAGGCAGGAGACCTTCCTAGAGAGTTGGGAGGTGCAGCATGTACAGTGCTGAGCAAAGAGGCAGCGCCTGTGTCCTGGACCGAACCCAGGTCTCGAGAGGGATCAGAAATTAAAGATCTACTGGTTTTGCCCCCCACCTATCTATTTAAAGCAGACCACACCCCTACGAGGTAGAACAGGGTAACATCCCCATTATTGATGTTCAGGAAAAATGCTTTTGAACTATGCCAGTGTTTCCCAAACTTGACAATTTTAAGGCACGAGGACTTCAACTCCCAGAATTCCACAGCCAGCGTTGCTGGCTGTGGAATTCTGGGAGTTGAAGTCCTCGTGCCTTAAAATTGTCAAGTTTGGGAAACACTGAACTATCTTGTCACAGCTTGAATTCTTGTCACAGCTTGAATTCTTACCCTGACCCCAGTGCAAGCGTGTTGGGGAGGGTGTGTGCATGTGCACTGAATATTTGTCCTAGCAAATGCAGAAATATCTGCAGCACAATTTCTCCCCTTGCTCACATTTCTCTTGGCATGCAGGCCACTTCTGATGCTGTTTTTCCAGCTTCATATTTTCTCTTCCTTCCTGTTTATCTGCAAGTGAAATGGGAGGGAGAGGTGTGTGTGTCAGCCCTGGGGGGGGGGGGTAGACCAGAGGAGGAAACTGAGTCCACAGGAAGACGAGCAGTACATATGGCGACTGGCTAAAGGTAAAGAATCTTGCAGGCTCCTCCCCTCCCTCTGATGCCCCAGAGGGTCTGAAGGAGCCTGCCTGCATCACCCCAATGCTTTCCTCTCTGAAGAGAACTTCTGGCCTCTCCTGTGTCTGTCTCTGATCAGCACTTGCTGATGGACTTGTAGGGAGGAAGAGAAAGTTCTCAGAAGGTTCCCAGGCTTGACAGGAGGAAGTGTGCTGCTCAGGTCACACACACACACACACACACACACAGCAGTAGGTCAAAAGATCTTTATTGAGCTGCCCGAACCAAGTATACAATTCCCAGCAGCTCTTGAATAACAAAAGCCACACACATCCCCTCTAAGTTGCCCCCTCTACGTTCCACCAGGAGTTCTAAGGAACCGGCAAGAGGGGTGGTCTCAATTCCGGAAGCCAGGCAGAATCCAGAACAAAGGTGCTCGATGAGGCAAGAGTTCCAAGGGCTTGAATGTGTCTGCAGGACAAGGCACCAGGCCAAGGCACAAACCAGAGGTCCAAAGTTCAACACGAGTTTGAAGGCAAAACATGTGAAGCAGGAATCATGGAGCACGGCATCCATGCACTGTCAGGGCTGCCTCTACCCAAATGCTAGGAAAGGAAAACCCTTCATTCCGTAGATTTAGAGAAAAGGTACTTTTACTAGGAAAGAAGTGACTGCAGTTAATTCAGGCGAGATCTGAGACAAAACTGCGTGAAAGCGTTCAAATTGAAAGAAACCCTAGAGTCCACCCCCACCCCCTTGCCTTGTAATTAGGCAACTAGAGTTCAATCAATGGCCAGAAGATGTTTTTGCAAAGTCTCTGTTTCAGGTGCATCATCTCTGACTGCTGCATGCCAAAGCCTGAAGAAATGACCTTGGAGAGATAAGCAAAATCTAAGCTGGCCATTGAAAAGCTTCACCCCCCCCCCCGCCCCTTTCTGTGGCAGCTGACAGCAATGCTCCTCTCTTTGTGTGGGATTAAATAGGCAACATGGTAGGGCTCCTGACGACGGGGAAGACTGCCTCCTTGCAAGTAAACTGGCCGACCGGGTGTTGTGCCTAATGCCTCTCCGCCCTCTGTGTCCTTGGATGGGGGGAAGGGGTGGACTCCACTTCCTCATCCTGGCTGACTGTAGGCAACTACTCTTGTTCTTTGCTTGAAGTCTCTGGCTGACCTGCTGCAGCTGTGGCTCCCTCTGATTGGGCTCAGCCTGCTAGTCATCTGGTCGTTCCAGCTGTGCTGCTCGTCAAGCTAGAGCCCCCCTCTCCCCCTTACTCTCTTCCCCTGAGGGACCCAGCTCCTCCTCCTCCTCTGGAGGCACATCTGTGACAGAAAGTTACAAAATATCTCACCCTTACATATTTATCCTAAGGAGACCCAATTTGATGCAGTGGTTATATGTTAATATGTTAATCATGAGAGAAGGGTCCTCTATACCAGAAATGCCTCCAATATTCTCCTAAACGGTTGCCTTGGAGCATGAAGCAAATGGGGAAGCTTCGGCATGGGCAGATCAACCTATGCAATCTGCTTTTCCATTTTGGGGAAGGAAATAGGTTGTTTAATTGCTGACAGTCAGGAGACTAAGTCAAAAGCTAAAATGATCAGTATTATTTTTAAGAAGCCTTGGATATCAAGTGAGTTTTTCCATTAAAAGCTCCCACTTTCTGGATTTTCAAATTTGGATGCAGTCGTGCCCTGCAAAAGCAGCAATCCACATATTATGAGATGCAGCGCTGTTTCCTCCCATTGCTTTTTTGCTTTAACATTGCAGTAAAATTCCTCTGGGCCACCAGGCCTGTTGCTGTCTCAAAGTGGAAAAACCGTTCAGGTGGTTTCTCGTGAAAATATCCTGGAGGACGGAAGAGGCAGCCTCCTTGTGCAAGAAAATCCCTCTGCAAATAATGATGTCTGATGCTTGTGGAATCTTCATAGCGAGAGACAGTAATGCCATTTTTTTCCATTCATGAGAATATTTCAAAATCATTCTATGGAGATAAATATAATTTCTCTTAAATGTATGCCAAATAGATTTCTCTCTAAGTTTATATCATAGTTTGGCTGTTTATGGAATTCATTTCTGGCAGCAGTTAATGATTTGGGCCTTCCTCTTGGGGCTTCTTTCAATTCTCACACACGTTGTTGAGGGCACAGATCGCCAAGCTCAGAGGCCTCCCAACCCTGATCTTTGCCTTCTCCACTGTCCCCATAGAGTTGCCATCTCCAGCCTGCAGGCCCACTTGGCATTTCTGGTGGCTCCTTCATGCCCTGGCAGCCAGTAGCAAATTTCTTGACTGCACATTCACAGGCCCTGATTTATGCCACCACTTCATGCTCAAGAATAAAATAATTTCTTCCACCATTTCCCATAGTTTCATGTAACAAAGAAAGTCAAACTAGTGTCAGTTGCTGGTTTCCCTGCATTTGTCAGTTTTACTCTTCTTCCCTAGCAAAAGAAAAAAATTGAACTGTCCAGTAACAACTTAATTTTAGGTTTCTGGCTCTGCAGTCCTAACTAATTGCAGCGTCATGGCAGAGTCTGGAAAGTTTCGACTATGGGGTATCTGATTATATGTCCAAATTACAATTGGCTTGGTGATGCATAGCTAATTATTATTTATATTTTTGAATTAAATGTTTTCCCACTTCCCAAACGGTGTGAAAGGGGGAGAGCACAAGGAGAAAACTAAGTTCAGATTTAACCTAAGTCTTTTCAGACATAGGATGTGGTATACTTAGTATTAATCTTTAATAACAATGACGCTTAGACATATACTGCTCTATAGAGCTTTAGAGTCCCCTCTAAGCGATTTACAGAATCAGCCTGTAGCCCCAACAATCTGGGTCCTCATTTTAATAACCTTGGAAGGATGGAAGGCTGAGTCAACCTTGAGCCGGTCAGGATCAAACTCCTGGCTGTAGGCAGAATTAGCCTGCAATAGTGTACTCTAACCACAGGGCTCCTTAATATAATGAAGCTGTACCAGCTGTTGATTGCTCTTTACCAACATGAGAATCCAGATTCCTTGTGAAGCATTCTTGAAACATTCTTCCTCTTGATGCAATCTCAACCCAGGGCTGCTTCTTCTCATGTCCTACATTCCAGTGGATTCACTGCCATCTCCTTCATGGTCCAAGGCAGGAGACCCTATATCATTCCAGACAAATGGCTGTCTCTTTTTAAAAGCCTCCAGTGATGGAGCACACACAACTTCTGGAGGCAACTTCCATTCCACTGGCTGATTGTTCTCACTGTCAGGAAGTTTCTCCTTAATTTCAGCTTGCTTCTCTCTTTAACAAGCTCTCCCCCATTTCTTCTTGTCCTCCCCACGGGTGCTTTGGAGAATAATTTGACCCCCTCTTCTCTGTGACAGACCCTCAAATATTGGAAGACTGCTATTATGTCGCCTCTAATCCTTCTCTTTGTTAGACTAGTTCTCTCATCATACGGTTTAGCCTCCAGACTCCTTATGGTCTTTGTTACTCTTTTCTGCACTCTTTCTAGAGCTTCAGCATTGTTTTTGTATTGTGGTGAGCACAACTGAATGCAGTATTCCAAGTGTGATTTTACTAGTACAGTGGTACTAATGGTACTAATACTTCATGTGATCTTGGTATTATTCCTCTGTTTATGGATCCTAGGATTACATTGGCTTTTTTGCATCTGCAGCACACTGCTGGCTCATATTTAAATGGTTTTCCACTAGGACAACTAGATCTCTCTCACAGGTACTACTGTTGAGCTAGGTACCATCCATTCTATACCTGTGCATTTGGTTTTTTTCGTCTACTCTAAGTGTAAGACCTTTTCTCACCACTGAATTGCATTTAGTTGGACAGGGCCCAGTGTTCAAGTCTGTCACCAACTGGGGGATTGTGGACCCCTGTATTAGTGGATTGATAGTTTCCTTAACTTCTTTCTTGCTTTTTGCATGTTGAAAGAATTTTTTTTATTTTTGGCATTTGTTGGTATTTGGGCTATTTGCTGGTATTCTGTTTTAGTTATATGTCCCTCTTTTGAATTTTTAATACTTGTCCTTTTTGTGCTCTCAGTTTGTCAGAGAGTTCTTTATGCAACCATGTTAGTTTCGTCTGGGTCCCTTGTTTTCTTTCTCTGCTATTGGATTAGGTTGGGTTTTTATAATCTTATTTTTCAGAGGTTTCATAATGTCTTGAATTGTTTTCCCCATTTAAGATTTCCATCCATGGAATCCTCCTAGTTTTATGATAATGTTTACTGAGGGCATAGTGCTTAAAGTCAGATAGGTGAAGTTGGCCACAGCATTGTGTACAGTAGCTAAATAGGGTTAGATTGTTTGTGTATCACATCTTTCAGATGTGCTGAACTCTTTGTGGAATTCCAGTAGCCATTGTGGAAGGTGCCTTATTGGAGAAGGCTGAACTAGGTCAACCAGCTCAATATTTTGTTCTCCACTATGAAAATAATATTTACAGATAGCTAACTTATGGTAGTAGTTAAGCCTGGTGATTATAACTTGTGACAATTGTAAAGCGAGTCACCACATGATCAATCTAATTTTACGCCCTTTTTTGCAGCAGTTGAATAGCAAATGTGAATTTGTTGTTAAGTGAACACTGTGGTCTTTAGTCAAACCCATTTTTCACCATAGGCCAGTTTTTGCCATAAACAAAAAATAAATATCAGTTTATAAATGGCAGTCATATGACCGTGGGATGCTGCAAATGATCATACGGGCCAGTTGCCAATCGCCCAAAATGCAGCCATGTGACGGTGGGGAGGGGGCATTGGAACCTCAGAATTGGGTCTTAAGTAATGCGGGAATCTGACATAACTTCAAACAGTCATTACGTGACCAGTCATAAGTCGAGAACTACCTGTAGGAATGAGTACAGAAGGAAAAAATATGGCAACCTTCTAGAAAACCTGTGATGGTTATCAATTTTTGGCTGATGTTTGAGATGAGTGTAATGAGGCGCGCTTTCCTCTGCACACCAGCCTTCCTGTGAATGTGTGCCTATTTAATTCCTCCGTGTCATATATATTCTTCTTCCTCCTTGCCTCCATCACAGGTATATACATTTGTTCCAAATGCGGCTATGAATTATTCTCCAGCCAGTCCAAATTCCTTCATTCGTCCCCTTGGCCAGCCTTTACCCATCCTATTCACAGTGACAGCATCTCCAAGTACTTAGAACGGCCAGGAGCTTTCAAGGTGAGGACTTGGGTTGTGTTGCAACGGACTCAAACCTTGGCAAGGGCAGAGTTCTTGAATCAGGATCCCAAATGCAGCTGAAGCTTGCTGGTAAATCTGGCAATTCCCAGAGTTGCATTTGAAATTGTAGGGATTGTTTCCAAGGTTCGGCTTTGAAGAGAAGCTGTTTATTCAGAATGCAAGCAGCTTCTCTAACAGGGGCGAGGTAGATTTATCCTCTTGTTTTTGCTTCCTTTTACAGCCAGTGTCAGAATCCAATCATATTTCATCTTTAATTACCAAATATAGAAACTCCCAATTCTGCCTTCTTTGGATTCTGCCATAAGAGGGAGAGAAGGGGGAGAACAAAGGGGCTTTATGGCCCTCACTTCCTTCAGTACACTTCAAAGAGCTGAATGCTGAATGTGTGTTTATTGTAACATCAAAGCGTTAGCACTAGAGAACCTTATCATAACAAAGCAGGATACTTGCCTTTCATGTAGTTACCTGAAGTCTCCATTCAGACGGAAGAAAGAAGAAAGGGGGTGGAATTGTGATACTTGAAACTATCACTGGAAGGGGGGTTGATTGGGTGGGACTACTGGGGAACCCCTTAAAACCTTGAATGGAAGAGCTTGAACCCCAAGTCCTGTCTAGCATGCCTGCAACCATTTTCTCTTAATAAAGGATTCCTGTTGGAAGAATTATTCCAAGAGTTCTGTCTTCTTAAGATGCAAAGTGGGGTGGGTCCTTACAGCCAGTGTTGATGCCAGTGCATTACAGTTTAAACAGTTCTTGTCTTTCTCTTTGTTTTAGATCAGGTCTACGGGCTTTCCTCAAAACCTATATTTATTTGTTTTCTCTAGACACCCATCTCAGTCAAGTGATTCAAATTGTTTTAATTCTAAAACAAAACTGTACAAAATAAATATGTACAGCAGCTCAGAAAATTACAGTATCAGAGTAATTGTCAGTAAAGCCAAGAAACGGGACCCAGGCTCTGACCCATGGCCAGATTTTTAAAGCCTTATGAAATTTTATAAGTATGTTTAGAAAATATTATAGTGCTTTTGAGGTATTTTATAGATACCACATTTTCAATTAGAAGCTTCTTGAATATATTGATCAATAATGAAATATTATAAATAATCAAAGACTGCTTTCCAGGAGGAAGACAAAAAACCCAAGGAATGAATAGTAAGGAAGCAAGTAAGGGACTGCAGAGGGAATAGCATTTCCTTCTGAACAAACCTTGTAGGAAAAACGATGGGACTGGACATGGAGTACTCTCTGTTATGGGCTGATTTCAGGAAAAGGGTCTTTGTATAGAAGCAGCTGATATATGACAGCAGAGAGGTTGTACTCTTAATTCCCTCTAAATTTCCTTGCAGGTCTCATGCGGCAAGTGTGGGAATGGCCTGGGTCATGAATTCCTCGATGGTGGCCCCCAAAAGAGCCAATCTCGTTTCTGAATATTTAGCAGTTCTCTCACATTTGTTCATAAAGGTATTGTTAACCTACCACCTGCCCTTCCTTACCCAGATTGCAAAATTATTTTTAATACTATCTCATAATGTAATATTTGGAAAAAATAGTTTTGGCCGCAATGTTCTATGGACTGCATGCAGTCTCACTGTGAAGAGTTCTAAATGATCAGAAAATGTACCAGTAGCTTTCAATAACACAGCAAGCCTTTCCAGAATTGTATTAGAGGCTATCCATTCTTCTATCCATTCACTGGGGTAAGCTCAGGCCAGGGTTTAAGGGCTGGTGTTTAAAGGCTCCATTCAATCTATAAACTATACAAATCTGCCTGCCATTGGGTTGAATTTTTCCAGGTTGGGAAAGAAATAGACACAAAATCCTTAAGCCCCATGATCCCCATCCATTCCCTCAAAATAATTGAAATATGGGGACCAGTTTACTCTTCCTGGCCATCAGTTGAATTCCCTTTTCCAAATAAAGGGAGATCATCCCTCATATATACAAACCACGTACCCACGATTCTTCACCAGCAAATGCTCTGGGCAGCTGACCTTGAAACTCTCCCCAAATAGGGTGGAATGTTAGTTAGTTGCCCAATTTTTCACAGTGGAAAGTCCAACTGTTAAAGTCAGGGGCAGTGTACATTTTGACATTCAACAGTTTACTGAATTTATTTTGACTTGCTGCCAAAGAATGCTTCAAATTTTATCTGTAGCAAAGCAGCTCCTAAAATTCTGTTTGGAATGAGAACTGTTGAACTTGCTATCTCTCTTTCTCTTACTTTCCAGATCAATCTGGGAAGAACATGGAAAAATAAACAGGCTGACAGCACTTTGGGGAAACTCCACTCTGAGCCTTTGGTGTTGGATGGGAAGCTTCCATTGCAACGTGATCTTAAACTGAACAAAACCAACTTGCTGGACTTCTCCTCTTCCTCCATTCAGATCCAAGTAACCAGCACCTGGTCCGGCCATGAGATGCTTGGCAGAGTGCTCCAAGTGTGGAAAGCCGCACCCCAGAATTCCCCCAAGAGTTCCATATGCCAGAATATTTTGCCCCAATTCAGATGTGAACTGCTCAGGTTATTCTGCTTAAGCTAGCAGGCCAGGGCTAGCTTAAAGGGGGCTGCAAGTGAATAGACCCCTGTCTTAATGGAGCATGGCAGTGGCATTTTTCAGAAGCCTTTTTCAGTGGCATTTTAGGCTTTCTGGCTTCCCCTCTTCTCACTGTCTGCTTCCACTGCTTATGTTATGCCAGAGAGAGGAGAGTTACTACCAATTGCAACCCAATATTTGCCCCTCTTTCTTCACTTGGTCCTGAGTGAATGGGCTCCTAGCCTTCGTGCCAATGTGGTATCAGAGAGATGGGGTGTGCCCTTATAGACTACTTCTACTTGCGAAACCCACAAGAAATGTGGCAGGAAGCAATGGTGCCTCTGGAGTAATTTTTTTGGGAAATGTTTAAGATGTATGTTGGTGTTTCTGGTGGAGCTTAAGATCCCTGTGATGCATCAGATCCCACCAATCATCTCCCTCTAAGCACATTCCTCCATCATCACTCTGCTCCAGCAGGAGGTTAAGCAAGGTAATAATTTTAATGGTCTGCTCCTGGCCAGAAGAAGCTGCCATGGCTGTTGTAAGATTTACAAATGGGCTGTATTTAGATTCTCCAAAAGGCCCCTTCTTCCCTACAGCAGACAGTCTGCAGTCCTGGGTCCCTCGTCCAGGACGCACTATAGAACACCCTAAAATGCTGCTACTCCAAAATCTTTCCTTGTGCCCCTCCACACATCCTCAGAAATGTACTTGCCTTTTCCTCCAGACTGACCTCCTCTCTCACTGTTTGTGAGCAAGACTTTCTGGCATCTGAAATCATCCTTCTGTCAAGGTGAAAGTGGCGCCTTTCCAACTCCCTGACATAACCTTAGCATCTGGTGGATGCCCCAAGCATCATGATAACATTACACAGTGGATGTGAATATGTAATATCTGCATATAGATTGTGATGATGTCTTGATGCATAAGCATCACTGTGGCTTCTGCATATTATATAATTCACATTGTTTCCATAATGTTGCTGATGCTCATAATGTGACTGACTTTCCCCATAGGTGTCCCGTGTCTATCCTGGGGGGGCATTTTCTGGTATAGCATCATGGTATGAATTGCCCTATGTAAACCCATTTTGGAAAGCAGGGGTGAGGAGCATCTATATGAGCCTCCCAGAAAATGCCCCAGGGAGCAAGTATCGCCTACCTGGCACCTTTAGACCCACAGAATTCTCAGGAAAAGAAAATGAGTAACCTAGTTGGCATTTAATGTTTGCATACAGCAAAAATGAACTAAGTTTTTAAACTGTTGATTGAGAAACAGATGAATTGGGTGTCCTTTTGACTTCAATGTGAGCCCACCTCAGGTGCATCAGAATCCCTTTGCGTCACCATTAGAAACAGGTCATAGGAAGGCAAACAAGAGCCTTACTTCTGAGAGCTGCCAATGAATGAGAAATACATGAAAGGAGAGGTTGCAGGTCTTGTCTAGGTTGCAACTTGTTGAGGTCACTTAAAATTCCTAGAGCACACTGTGGGTGACAAAGTTGGATCTGAATTAGAATTTAGATGCCTGCACCAAAGAAAATATCATTTGGCTGGTGGTTATTCTCTGGAGCCAAAAACTGCATCCCATCACATGTGCAGGCTCTGAATGCTAACATAAGAAACCAGTGTGACCTCTCTGCTCAAAGGGCTAATAGCATAATATTACAGTGGTCAAGAGCTCTCACTTCTTTGCCTTGCCTCGTGATGATATCTTTCCTGAAGGAGTTCGGTGAAGCCTGGCCTTTGTTGGTCATCCAACTGTGAAGATCCACCTCTGGCCATTACTTGAGCTTCACTCTGATGGAAAGAGTCAGCTTTCAGAGAGCTGAAGTGAGACAATTAAAGGGTTCCCCCCCTCATGTTTTCACATTCTTTTTCTTGCATGTGCTGTCAGATAAAGTCCAACAAATGTGAATAGTCTAGAACAGTGGTTCTCAACCTTTTTAATGCCGCGACCCCCAACTGGTCGTACGTCGAGGACTACCCAACCGGTCGTAAGTCAAGGACTACCCAACTGGTCGTAAGTCGAGGACTTTCCCTGCCCGGGAGTTCCGCGCATGCGTGGTGCTGCCCCCTGCGCCGGCCGAAGCGTAGCTGGCAAGCAGCAGGGACGGCGCAGGCCGACCACCGGCTGGGCCACCAGCTGGCCCAGCCCAAGGGAGGTAAGGCATCCGCCGGGCCCCATGCACGCCAGCAACCCTCCCTGTGCCTGCCGACCTCCCACCCCTGGCCCTCTTGTACTTACATTTTTAGTAGTTGCTCAGCAGGGAGGGGTGGAAACTTCCAGACAGCTCGCCTTCGCTGCAGACAACTTGCAGCATCATTTGCAGAATGGGACTTTTGGCGGGCTCAGCATGGCAGAGACAGCCTGGACAATTCCTATTGGCTTTTGAAAGCCAATAGAATTAGACTCTATTCAAGAGAGTCTATTCTATTGGCTTTCAAAAGCCAGTAGAATAAAAGGGAGTAGCACAGCTAAGGAAAAGGGGGGAAAAATGGCGGACTACGTTGTTTGGCGACCCCCATGAAATGGTCGTTCGACCCCAAATGGGGTCCCGACCCGCAGGTTGAGAACCGCTGGTCTAGAACATTTGCAAGAACTTTAGATTCAGGTACATGGCTAGTTGAGGACTGGATATAGGGATTCCACCTTGAATAGAGACTGGGGTAATCACTTTGTTTAGCTCTAACTAAGGGGGCGTCTGCTTTGAAAGGCAGAGCCAAACAATCAGCTACTTTTCTGTCCTGTCTTGTGATAAGCGGACCTTTTGGACTCTTGTTCCATAAAAGATCAGTTGGACATGTGAGAAGTAGGTTGAAGGGTTCTCCTGGTGTATTAATTTTCCTACAATCCCGAAGACTCCCCAGATTTGCACTTTTTTCCTGAAAGCTGAAAATAGCTTGGATGGTTTTGCTCTAGTCTATAGTCTCTTCTCTGATGGATACGGCAGGTTTCAGTTGTCAAGCTATGAACCTTTAGGATCACTGCGTGCTTCTAGCTTGCTAACATAGGCGGGGAGGAAAATGGATTGAACTTTGAATCCATAGGTGTTCTTGCCATTGTGAGACCCGAAGATTTGTTTTGATGAACTAAAGAGTCTTCTCTAATAATTACTGCAAGATATATTGGATAATGTGACCTGAACTGTCAAGAGAGGAGAGGAGGAGATTCGTTCTATTAACTAACTGCTTCCCCCCACTTCTTCAGAGCTAGCTTTCACTTTGAACCTGTCGTAATGATTCTGTTCAATAAAGATCACATTAGAGTAATTAATGGCTCTGGTGTTTTTCTTAGTTGGGCTTTTTCAGCTGGAGGTTGACATCAATATCAAAATACAAAATGTTAGCAGAGGAAAGTGAGCGATCTCTCAAGATCTTGAAAGTAACACTGAATTTCTCTGTTTTCAAACAGATTTTGAAGTCATACTACACATAAAGGTTGCAATTCATCTGTACTGTGAAAAACACAAATCTTGACATCTTGTTCAGAGGTTTGATGATTTTTTTTCCCCTTGGGATGTTCTCTTGAACTTTGTGTTCCTGGTTAATGTGACACAAGAGGTAAAAAATATTGATTTTAAAAAGCACACATGAAGTTTTCCACCTTAACTGGAGTTGGCAAATCTCTTGAAGATGGAGCTGATAACAGTAAATAAAATTTGAAGAATATGATTTTTGTCTATTTTTCACAAATTATTGAAAAACAGCAAAATCCCTAAAAAGCACTGGGATTTTGGAAAATACTAATATATACTTAGCTATAGTTTCTGAATTGTGTTTTTTTTTTTACTCCAGACACAAGCAACACATGCAGTGTGAAGTGTGGGTCTCTGGTTGAAAGGCAGGTGATAACCTTCATTCACCTCATCTCCAACCTAATGTCTCCTGGTAATTAGTTACAAGGAAAAATATGCTTGGAAAATATGTCACTGATAATAAATGGGGAGATCATTTCCTTCGTGTGGATCTGTCTGGGCCTTTGTGTTCACCTGTCCCTTGGACAAAGAGGAGGGGATCTGTTTGGCAATGAGGAGAATGCAGAGGACTCTTCGGACTGACCCCTATTTGTTGGAAGTTTGGGTTGCTGCTTCCCTTTGCCATGATATTGCTGCTAATTACCACTGGGAGTCTCCCTTCACATTTTATGTTTTCAAAAGCATCCCAGATTTTTTGTAAGACTTTGTGAAATGCTTAGAAAAAAAGAGATCGTTAATACAAGCAATGCACTACACCTCAAAGGTATTTTGTTTCCCAATTGAATAGCAGGTTCCAAAGTTTTGTGATTGTCTTGAATATCTTGCATCCTATTTAGTTTTTAAATGTTGTAAATCTAAAGCAGGGGTATCAAACTGCCGCTCCACGGCCAGATGCATCATAGCAAAACTGGCAATGGGGAAAAAGTTACAATACGTCATGTGATATTATGAGTTTGACACCCCTGATCTAAAGCATCCATTTCTTACGTATGAATAAAGACTAGTACTGTTTGGCTGAATCAGTATCACTGGTCATTCTGGAGCATGTTCCCCACAACAGGTTAAGCCTAGCTTAGTGATAGCCATGATTATAAGACCAACTTGATACACTGTAGGTCACCTAATAACGTACATGTTGCTTCAGTTTGTCAAGTATCTTGGAAGCAGCTTGTCAAATGACATTACTGGTACTTTTTTTAAATAGTGAAAATTTTAGAAATCAAAACTCAGGTTGGCTCAAAGGGGCATTCCTTTGTTTCCATTTAGTCTTTTACGTTGTTTTGTGTGTGTGTGTTTGTGTATGTGAAAACACCTGGGAGCTGTTGGAATGCAAATTTACAGTTGCTTCTTCCATATAAATAACAAGAAAAAAGCCAAGGAAACAGTTGGTCCATTTAAGAGAGAAGATGACAAGGAAGTAACAGGCAGCAGAGAGAAAGCAGAGCCGCTTAATCAGTCTCAACACAAAAAGAAACTATAGCCCAACCTACCAAAAACAGTTGTAAAAGGCAGACTAGAAATAAAAAATAAAATAAGCAAGAACACCTGTTCTTGATGAATATACATCACCAGGACTTGATGTCACCCTCCATCTTTGCTTGCTTGCTGTCAGCTGTCATGGCAACAAAGGGGAGAGGGAGCAATAAACAATTGAAAGGGGAAATGCACTTTAGGAGACAGAGATGGTGGAATTTTTTCATGAAGTTGTGTAATAGCCAGCTTGGGTTTTGCTCATCTCTCCAAGGTCGTTTCTTTTAAGTTTGGTATGCAGCAGCCAGAGATGGTGCACCTGATTCAAGGACTTTCTCAAAACATTTTTGGCTGCTGCGTGAACTCTGGTTGCCTAGTGTCAGAATCCAATTATATTAATTATATTTCATCTCTAGTTATCAATTATAAAAAAAACCATTTCTGCCTTCTATGGATTCTGTCATACGATGAAGGGAAGGGGGGTGAACAAAGGGGCTTTATGGCCCTCACTTCCTTTGGTACACTTCAAAGGAACTGGATGTGTATATCACCAAAAGGACTAACCATAACAATGGGGCTATTACCTTCATGTAGTTCTCTCTGAAATCTCCATCCAGCCAGCAGAAAGGAAAAGGGGGTGGGATTGTAATGCCTGAAACTGTCGCTGGAAGAGGGGATGATTGGGTGGGACTACTGGGGAACCCCTTAAAAAATCTCACATGCCCCAATATAACAGCGCACGAACCACAGACTCTAAACCAATAATGGCAGAGTCACATCTGGCAGCACCAGTAACCACAAGAACCCAAGCTAAATTAAAACCACAACTGGACAGCCAAACTGGAATTGAATTCAGAAAAAGTTTGGAAACAGATGAATGGTTCCAGAAAAACAAAAATGTGTGCACAATGAGAGACGGGTTGCCTTGGGTAGGGGAAAAGTTATATATACCAACAACCCAAAGAATCACTTTCATGCAGCTTTGCCATGACACAAAATCAGCAGGGCATTTTGGATTTGTAAAAA